GGGGGTGTTGGGGGGGGCTATTGGGGTGTTGATGGGGTTATTTGGTCGGCCCCCGACCAATCCAAGAGCGCCGACCGTTGGCGTGACTACTCTGATTACATTACGATATATATCGTCATTGTGATACGATATATAACGTCATTGTGAACTGCCTGGTGAACCGTAGGCAGAGAGGGAGAAGAGGATAATAAACGAGGGGCTGTGACAGACTGTTTCGTCAAACTTCACCGACTCATCAGGACGCTGAACCCTTACAGTCTGCAGAGTCCCCTAACCGATGATACTGTAAGTGATAGTCCACATTAACCCCGGTTGCGGTTGAGCATCGACAACTGCACGACAACTGATACCCTGAGATGGGCACCAACCACTGCCCTCAAGGTGCCTGTGACAAAACAAAGAAACTCTGTCACGGCCACACACACCGCTGTGCACTAGAGGCACAGCATGGCCGCGTAGTGACGGCCCTGAGCACTGCTATTCAACCTGACCAGAGAAAACCATAGCAGGGATTTAGCGAAGTCGTAGTAAGACGACAACAAACGAGGGGCTGTGACAGACTGTTTCCTCGTAGTTTCACCAACTCAAAAGGAGGCTGAACCCTTACACGGAGTCCCGTAACCGATGATACCGAAAGTGATAATTCACCTTAACCCCGGTTGCCGTTACGCATCAACAACTGCCTGGCAACTAATACCCTGAGGTGGGCACCAACCACTTGCTACATGTATATTACCATCATTACTATGAACAATTTGTTACATTCTAATTAAAAACGACAAAAAAATGTTACGTGATTCGGACTATTTTATGCACTTAAATCTTTCTTGACTGCTATAATCGCTCCGGCGTGAAGCCACTGGGCACATGGACCACCCAGCCTGGAAGCTTCCAGGCCAGGCCACCTTCCATATAGGAAAGTGCCTGGCTACGAGGGGGGCATTCACGCACTTGTGTGCGAGGCGGCAGCGCTGCTGGAGCATTCGCTCGGTGGCTGCTAGCACTATGTGCCCGGGCGAGAACGGTCGCAGGGAAGTGGGCGCTGCTTGGAGGCAGTGCCAGAGGTCAGCTCCATAGCTGGGCATGTGCTCGAGATTGGTCAGCAGGGTATGGGGGTGGTCTTCGGGAGATGAGACGAAGCTGTGGGAGAAGACGAGGGTGAGCATAGAGAGGGTGAAGGGAGAGGTGATGTGAGAGCACGTACCTGGTCCTGGCGGAGGTCTGCATGGTCGACATCTGCATGTACTTTGGTCGTTGCTGCTGCTGACGTCAACTGATTGCTTGTCATTTCTGTAGGCTAGCGTAGTAGCTGTAGGATAGCAGTATGGGCGCTGAGAGCCAGTACGAGGAAGATTGTCAAGTACATTGTTGCTGTGGCGAAAGAATGCTTTCGTTGACAATTGAGTTCGCTGCTTTGGTTCTCCTTTGGTGTGATATCAGTGCATTTCTGCTTTCCGGACACAGCATACGACTATCTGGCTTTCAACGTGATTTTGCAATTTGGAATTCTCAGTTCTGTCATTTTGCTATTGCTCATTTTCCTTTCATCAGTTGGGACAATTCCTTACCAAGTTCCTTGCACTAGCCCCTTGAGAAAGAAAATCAACCCATTATGAGCGACTTGATGCAAAAAAAAGGTGAAAAAGAGTACCTTGAAGCCAAACATGGATTAGGAAAGGAGATTGGCACAGTAATAAAGAGAGGATCAAGGACCGTGAGAATGTGAGCTGGACGAACGGGGAACGACACAGGGAAAGGTTACACGAAGAGCTGGGAGGAGGTGAAGGTCCTGATGGGTTCTGAAGCGGTGAAGGGTCCTAAGACTCCTAACAAAAGATCCAAACTGTTCCACCGGAGGGTTTTTTCTCCTGGGGGGGGCGAAGAGGGGAAGCGGGGGGTCAGATTTTCAAAACCGTCACCACTTTTGGACCGTTCAGGATCTTCAGGGGTGAATATCCTTAAACCACCAGTACATCCGAGTCTCTTTTTGCTGGGGCGTATTTCCCCCTGCGCACCAAGCTTTGCCAAAACGCCGGTGCAGCACTTTTTCTCCCTTTGTCTTGCAGCGCCAGCCATTTTGGTCCGCCGGCTCCAAGCCTCCAAATTTTTCAGAAAGACTGTTTTTCGATCCTCAAGTTTGCCTGGGTAATGTGCTGCCAGTTCAAGATACTGAAATGCCCAAAACCTTGAAAGGTCTGAGCAGCGCCGGACAATTGAGGAAGTCCAATTCTCTCAAATACGTTTTCTTATTACTTATTAACTTATTAAGTTATTAGGTGCTCTCAAATAAATGTCCTTCGGGACATCCGTTAGAATTGGAAGGATAAAGAGAAGATTAGCATGGCCCCTGCACAAGCATGACACGCATAAATTGAGAAATGGTCCAAACTTTTGTATGTACAATCCAACCAACGGGCGTAGCTCAGTCGGTACACCGATGAACTGTTGAACGCACACCCAAGTTTGAATCCAGATGCAATCGAACGGACCCAAAAAAAAAAGTTGAAAAATGGCCTGTCTTAACCAGGAAAAAAAAAAGGCGCTCTCAAATTACTTATTATTACTAATTTATTACTTCATTAAGTTTACAGCCTAACATCATCCATGCCACATTCTAGCATGCTGTCTTGAAGTGACCTCCTTTGCTTACACTCCACCCATATCCACACTCACTCACTCAGTCAAAAGGTAGAAGGCTCTTTTCAGCATCTGTGAACATACCGCACTGCAGCCACTAACAAGCTGAGGTGCACCGCCAGGATGAAACCGCAGGTCTAGAACTTTTTGTACAGGTTGGAGCTGTTCTTGATCGCGCCCACAGTAAGAAAAAAATGCGCACAAAGACAGCGCTTGTCAACGAACAATATCATACATGATAAACACTCACAAATTTCCAAAAACCAAATTTGCTGAAAGTCTGAGAATCATTGGAAAAAAAGAGTGGTGGGGGGGGGAGAACATCAAAGAATCATACTCCAATTTCCCAGTTCCATAACATGCATAATGAAGACAGCTATGCTTCATAGTCTTTTTCACACTCAGTTTGTGACACGCATATACATATATATCGTCAAATATATATATTATGAGAGGCATTTGAGATTCAGAAGGTTAGAAAAACTGGATGCAATAAGCTCTTCAAAACCCTACCCACGACTAGCATTCATGCAATGATCCGCATAATGCTTGTCAGTTGTAACACCCACTGCCACTGCCCTCCATTGACTAGAGCACTACCGTCTTCACCCGAATAGAACTCTCGGGCATTACCACTGTGTCTGGACCGCAACATGGCCCAAATGCAGCTATAATGACCGGGAGTTCTATATTCGGGGGAAGACGGGAGAATGATCTTTTATAATGACTGCAGTAAAATATTACACAGCCATTGTGCAGATCATCGCATGGATTAAACCACCCGTACTTTCGACCCTTTTTTATTCGGGTGAAGAGACGGGAGAATGATCTTTTATATAATGACTGCAGTGAATATTACACAGCCACTGTGCAGATCATCCCATGGATTAAACCACCCGTACTTTTGACCCTTCCCTTGTCAAGCCTCGAAAGAGTCGAAACACACTGCGGAGTGCGCGCCAAATAAAAACGGGCCCTCTATTGGCTGGCGCAGCCAGCCATTTTGCTCCCATAGGCCGACCGACCCCTGAAACTTGCTGCATGCATGCCGCCGTGTCGGAGAAAAATGGCTCGGACACGTACTGGTGGTCTTAAATGGATCAGAATTTGAACTTCGAAGAGTGAAGATCTCTGTTCCAGTCCAAGTACTCATCATCAAACCACTGCCCTCCACTAGAGCGCTAGGAGAATTGCATCAAAACCCCTCCACACAGGATGATCTCCACTGTCGCTCCCCAGAATGGTAGGAGCCAGAACCAAATGGTTCTGTCTTTTCTCAAAAAAAAAAAAAAAAAAAAGGACAGGATGATCTCCACAATTGATGTAACATTCACCATATGGGTTCAAACTTCAAAGTTTCAAACAACTATAGACCTGAAATCCGAAAGCTCGCCTCCATTCCATTCTTGGCATGAGATTAACCACTGCGTTCCGGTTTGTATAATCACTTGCTCATCTCAACGATTAACACTCGCTATGCAGGACACTTTGTAATATAAATTAATCATGCTTTCGTTCTTGTGATAACTATAGTAGTACAGTAGTATGGTTAGATAACATAACCAGCCAAGGTAACCAGTTGACGAAACTGCTTGAGATGACCAGTTGAGATTACCACTTGGTCGAGATAACGAAACGGGGAGACACTTGCGATAACCGGTTATCGGAACTGGTTATCGGAACTGGTTATCGGAACTGGTTATCGCAACTGGTTGAGCAAACAAGTTGAGAACTTTTGATCTATCCAGATGTCTGAACCTGGTCTGTGCTCTGGTCCATATAATATAAGATGCCAATCCAAGCATATAGTGCATCTTAGGGTTGGATTGGCATCCGATACGTCTGATCTATCCGGATGTCGGAACCTGGTCTGTTCTCTGGTCCATATCAGATATCAATCCAAGCATTTACTGCATCTTAGAAAAAGCAAGAATATCACTCTAACACTGTCTGAGGCACAGAGCAAGCAATTCTCTAAAGAATAAGGAGTGTCATAAGCAATTTACTAATTTAGCACAATGTGTGGAAATGATTGTCCACTCATCTAGAACTCTAAGGCCTTGTACAACTGCCAGCTGTCACGCCACCATTTGTTACTCTGGAATCTGGATGCCAGGGCGTTTACCTCAATTGCAGAGCCCCACGCCGTTGGGACAGTCGTTGCGGACGAGGTGTATGAACACCATGTTGGTAGAAGCAACTTATGCGATCTTCGCTTCACCCATACTCCAGGCCCGGCAAATGGTTTGCCGAGAGTATGCCAGCCTGCGGAAGCATATCACAACACCGGCACTGCAAAAGCACATCACTATGCTGAACTACCTTCTTCCACCGAACACAATGCCTGGTCATTGTATCTGTAGCTGGCCCGAAAGTTGCATGAATTACAGCTATAATGATCGGTTATTTTGTTCGCGGGAAGCAGGTAATGCCGACAGCTTGGCAAGCGGAAGGCGGCACCGCATCGTTGCTCCAGTGCCAGTTCTATGAAGCAAAGGTCTCAACTGGGAGGGCTGAACGAGCCACTGCTGAAACGTACAAGAATGTGGAAGCATGCATTACCAGATACATTCTCATGGAAAATAGACGAGTGTGAAAGGATGGTGACTTAAGAGCACTACTTTTGCCCATGAAACAGGGGAAGATTCAAAATATGGTGACATCAATATCAAATCAAATGACACTGGCAAGAGCATGGAAAGGACATTACAAACCATCATAAGCAGCAAAACAGTAACAGAATGAAGAATGGACACAAAACACCATACAGAAGAGAGAGTAAACAAGAAGAGAAGGAAGTTCCCCCCCCTTGATACACAGAATAATGAATGTAAAGTCTATAGACAGAGGGGGGGGGGAGGCAACAAGAAATGTAGAGAATCACACTTCAGAGCTGCCCTCTTCCCCCTAATAGAATGTGTAGTCTTTATAGCCGTATTTGGCTCACCTTTCAGTCCAGATGCCACAGAAGTGACGATATGTCCGTTCTATTTGGGGGAAGACGATAGCTCTCGAATGTCCCTGTCTCTCCTGCAGTTTTCGTAGAGTTTGATGAGATCTCAGCGATTAACGGGCTGGAGTCTCACTCAGTAACTCCTTTTTTTTTTTTTTTTTCAATGCAGACTGTCTTCTCCTCATCGGGGGACAGCTGCATTTACTATTCTCTTCTCTCACTTTTTCGTACTTTATTTTCTTCACACTATCCTACTCACACATGTATCAGCAAACAACATACCATCCCTCTGGACCATTTCTCAATTTATGGGTTTCATCTTTGCACAGGGAACAATGCTAATTTTCTGTGTATCCTTCGAATTTTAACGAACGTCCCAAATTTTAGCAGACGAACATTTGAATGTTACTGAGGAGGTAGCAATATCTTGTAAAAGGCCTCCATAATGTGCACCCCAGTAAAAATGCCTCAGTAAAATGCCTCAGTAAAATGCCTCAGCAAAATGCCTCAGTAATGACTCAGCAACATGCAACAAGCAAAATGCATCAGCAACATGACGGAGTACTAAGTAACACCCGAAATGACCTTCCCTCTCACGATAAGGAAGAAAGAAAGCGCACCAGTTAAGTGAAAGTGAAGGGAGAGAGGTGGGAAAGTGGGAGGGAGAGATGGTGGTGCAAATCTCTCTAATTACCTCCACAGTGTACTCACTCCAAATTTTCCGGCTATCGATGATGCAGCTGCAGCTACGGCAAAACTGATACAAACAGTCTGGCAATGCCGTCTGGAGAATACCAAGCCACATGCAATGCCCATCCCCCTTTCAGGTAGGTGGCCTACAATGGCCAGCAAACAGATTGGGCACACCTATCCACAAGCAGAAGCAACACCAGGTCAGGCCTCTGCCGGAGTAGCCGCGGCACCCTGTTTCCTTCTTATCCCACTGGACCTGTCCTACCTGCCAGGCCATTCTGGATCGGACAGTTGCCACGCTCAGGTGCTGGGCCCGATGTGGGACCTTAAGGTAGAGGGCCCAAATGCGGGGCTCTAAGGTGGTGGGCCCAATGTGGGCGCCCTAAGGTCCTGGGCCCAATGTGGTGCCACTCTAAGGTGGTGGGCGGGATGTGGAGCTCTAAGGTGGTGGCCCAATGCGGGGCTCCAAGGTGGTGGACCCAATGTGGGACTCTCAGGTGGTGGGTCCAGTGTGGGGTTCTAACGTGGTGGGACCAAGGTAGTGGGTGGAATGTGGGACTCTAAGGTTGTGGGCCCAATGTGGGGCTCTAAGGTGGTGGGCCCAATGTGGGTGCCCTAAGGTGCTGGGCCCAATGTGGTGCCGCTCTAAGGTGGTGGGCGGGATGTGGAGCTCTAAGGGTGGTGGCGCAATGTGGGGCTCCAAGGTGGTGGACCCAATGTGGGGCTCTAAGGTGGTGGGTCCAGCGTGGGGTTCTAACGTGGTGGGACCAACGTAGTCGGTGGAATGTGGGACTCTATGGTGGTGGGCCCAGTGTAGGGCTCTAAGGTAGTGGGCCCAATGTGGGTTTCTAAGGTGGTGGGCCAGATGTCAGTGCGATGTGGAGCTCTATGGTGGTGGCCAAATGCGGGGCTCCAAGGTTGTGTGGGGCTCTAGGGTGGTGGGTCCAATGTGGGGTTATAACTTATAAGATGGAGGGCCCAATGTTGGGCTCTACGGTGGTGGGCCCAATGTGGGACCATGGTTATCTCAGATCCCCACCACCTTAGAGCCTGGATTGGATTGATTGCCAGGCCATTGTCAGCTTCCATGGAGACAACCAGCAATGGGGAGAGGAGGGTACCGAGTGAGTTGCGAGAGGAGGGCACCAGTTTAGCAATGGCAGCATCGTTAATGGTAGCGCAGTCTTCCGCAGAGCGCCATTACCGAGCCTCCATGGCAGAGTTCCATATCCTCATTGGATGTCTGACTTACATACTGACTAGGCAACTACTGTATCCAGTAGATACAGAGTGATGCAAACTGCTCCTCTGGTCTAACTACTACCACTTAGACTACACATCGACACAACTGCCAAGCTACCAAGCTTTGACCAACTTCTCTCCTTCTTCCTTGCATCTCCGATTGACTCAGCCTCTCTATGTCTGAAAACAAGAGTGAGATTCCCTTGCCTGATTCAATATTGCTCAATGTTAAATATGTTCATGAACACCGAACTTTGGATTTATTGGATGCCCAACCTCTAGGAGGTATCAAAAAAGGAAATAGAAAATTCAAAATTCCAAAATTTCTGTCATTGTATTGTATACTACCGTACTATAAAGCGAAGACATATCATCAAACTATAAAGAGTAAATACACCCAGAAAATATTTCTCAGTTTTTCAGACTTTTTCTTCCCTCCCTTCTTTCTTTCAATCATATGAACACAAGATTTCAACTTTTAGTCCTCGTTCATTTCGTTGGTATCGAAAGGGACAAAAGCATGTAATGGTAGTACGACTCCGTGACCGCATTATCTCCCATTTTGGTGAGGGTTCAGATCTAGGCTACCAGTTGTCCGATGGCCGGTTGTCCTGGCCGGACATCCTGTGTGGAGTTGTCCGGGATCCCGGACAACTCATTTTTTCCAAATCTGGAAAGCAAAAAAAAAAAAAAAAAAGGAGAGGGAGGCTGCGCACCACCAGGGGACCCCCCAAAACAATTTTGAGGCCTTTCGGAGCAAAAAAAAAAAAGGAAAAAGGTGCTGGGGGTGG